ATTGCGCTTTCCTGAGAACTTATACTAGCCTTAGGATGGTCATTCATTGGATTCTTTTGCCCTGTTTTCCTTTCATTATCAAATCCACCGCCTCCTCATATCGCCCTTTTGCAGGTCTCACAGTTCTTCAACTGCATTCTTGCATTCATGGAAAATGTGCCCTATTATCTTCGGCCATGCTATTTCGAAGCCATAATTTCCTACCTGTACAAGCAGTGCAGATTGTCGATACTGAAGACAGCGCACGGGTAAATAATTGATCTTCTTGAAGAATTCCAAAAAAAAAAATAGGATAAAGCATTTGCCGTTGATCAATCCCTTTTTGGGATGCGGCACGCATTCTACTTCCATTTGTACATTCGTAGTGGCGTTTGAATGCGATGTGGCCTATACAATGACTTGCGGGGGCCAGCCGATGTACAAGTCAGTGTTTTTATCCTCCCAGACAAGTCTGGTACCAATTAACCGACCCCGGAGGGATGGAAGGCTTGGTTGGCCCGGGCGACTCACGACCCAGGATTTGATCCCCGGACCGCTCGCGTGGTAAGCGCGCCACTTGTCCACTACACCACTTCCGCCCCTCTTATGCATTTAATCGAGAAATCTTTCGCCAAGTTCTTAGTAAAAAAAAAACTGAAACGGCTTCAAATCCAGGAATATATCCACTTCTTCGTCACTGGTTCGATCTCTAGCCGTTTCCTCAGTGTCATTTGTGGGTTATGTTCCGAACGCTGACCTGGCGCCGTTATCACCTTCTGTGAGATTGGAGGATAAACATCCGTCATCGCTTGCGGCAGGTATGAACTCATTTGTCTCTTTTTTATTCCTTCAAAATATAGCGATACATTCGTTGCAAAAAAAATTTGCGAAGAAAATATATTTACGTTAGTTATCTTTTCAAGAAACCGATTTGAACCAGAGTTTCATGTTGCGGTTGCTGAGGACTTTCAGAGGGCAATATGTCAACGATTGACACCCAGATCGCTCCGCCCACTGTATCACCTTTGCAGTCCCTACCACCGCAATTTCGGCTATTTCAGTTATGTTCTTGTCATGGGTGTTGAGGCGATATTATCCTTTCGCGGACCGCCGTTAAGTGTGCACCCACTTGGAATTGAACACAGATAAATGGTTACTGGTTAACGAGGCTTTTGTCGCCTCTTTTACCAGTAACCACTATTTTATCTTCGATTTCATCAGTACTGAGATCTATGACGACTTAAATATATGATTTTCGCTAAATGAATCGTGCCTATCCTGTCCCTGTAATGGTGTGTTTTGTGCATGGC